AAAACATGCAAAAACTGCGAGTAAAAATGATCTTCAGCTTCACAGTACGTTAAAAAAAGAAGAAATGGCTGTGTAGACAACGTGCATAATTCTCTTGCATGTATGTGAGGTCCACATGTCTGCTCTAGATACAGAGATGTCCATTAACTAATGAAATAGTGAGTTAAATACATATATTTTTTCTGCTTTTTCCATCCGTTGTTCATTTATTTCTGCTAATATCATTTTGAACTGTTATAGTCCTGATATAGTCGTTTTAATATGGCCCTCATATCCATTTGGGTTGGGTACACTGAACCGTTAGCCAACTTGTGGCTTGACAAAATCATTGATAAATTGAATTATATAAAATCACAAAGTAAGGATAAATGATAAATAAAAGTAAATTGTTCTTCTGAAAGTAATTTAGTTGAACTGTTTATCGAAAGCACAATAAGACTGAAAGAAACTAGCAAAACTACATGCATGAAATAAATTCATCGTTTTTTTAACATTCTTTTAGTTGCTAGTGTTGATTTTCTTATGAGTACACCCGTACTCGGTTTACGTATAAGCTATTTAGTTATTTTTTCTTCAGATATTTGTGTTTCACCTGATTTAAATTACAAATTAACATTTTTTGGTGTTACGGGTGACTGTCCGGCAATTAAAGTAATTTTGGACTTTGTTGGTCATGGAGGCTATTGGTGTTGTTGGATATGTTATTTAAAGGATATTCATGTTGACAATAAGCGTCAATATCGCTGTGAATTGCCAATCAAACACCGTCATTCAGAAAAATATTTACAAGGATCAATTCAACCTGTCCAAGAAAATCGTGATATTTTTGGTCATCGTGGGGTTAGTGTTTTACACAAAATATTAGACACACCATTACCTGAATGTATCATCATCGACTACTTACATTGCACATTATTAGATCATGCAAAAGCAATTATTAAGGCCATTTATCATCAGGTAAAGACGGATCAACGAAGATTAATCGATAGGAAATTAAAACAACAATGATTTTCTCATTTTTTCGGCCGCAAAACCCGACCAATTAATGATTTTTACGTGTTAAAGCTACAGAAATTAAGAATTTGGTATTATATATATTATTACCTGTATTACAAGATCACTTACCACTTGAACAATTATTACATTTAGCTTTATTCATTTGTTCGATCCGTCTGTTTCATTCTGAATCACCACATGATAATGATGTGTGTACATTAGCGAACGAGTTCTTTTTGCATTATTACAGAGATCATGATAATTACTATGTTAATTTACAAAATTTTGTTTTACATCTTCATATCCATTATTTAATGATATATAGGAATCACGGATTTCTTTGTAATATTGGGTGTTTTGCTCAGGAAGATTTAATCGGTGGTATTAGTTCTAATCATCATGGTACAAGATCGTACGGAGAATTAATATGTTACTACTACAACATCGATTTTTTTCTGAATGACAACAGCGTAAAGAAAGTACAAATGGGCCAATTGATCAAACTGCTGATGCTGCTGTTTATGCATATGATTATCATGAAAAATTATGTGATTGTAATGATTTGAACAAATTTATTGTGATTTATCGACGTTGTTTGGTTCGTGAACACATGTTCCACTCTTTGTTCTACAAAAAGCGTCAACAGTGCATTAGCTATTTCATTGAATATTTCGATAATGATCATATGACACAACGACATTTTGGTGTCATCGAATATTTTTTCATATGGCATGACAAAGTATTCGCTTTGATATAACATTATCCAATTGAACGTTTATATAGTGAACGTTTTAAAAGATCAAAATACTATAATCTCTTGAAAAAAGCGTTAGATTCTTTTTTTTCGTGCTTCAAAGTAAGCCAAATCAGTTTGATCTGATTTCTGTTGAAGATATATCAAAACATTGTATTGTTGTTGAAAAAAATGATTATTTAGTTGTCCCCCCAATCTCTTCTTACAATGAACATGATTGAACATTTTATGTGCGAATACATTGTGGATTAGTACAACAGCTGTTGAAATTCATCCATATATTACCTCACATTATTGTTAATTCGTGTTGTGTTGTTTATTTCATGTCTTATTGTTGTTGAAATGAGACAAGAAATAATTTTGTTTATTTTTTTGTAACTGTTTGTCTTTTGTTTACTGTATGTTTTAGATTAATTGACTTATTTCCATAATCCTGCTGTACCTCTAATGGCTTTTGACCCACGTTCTAGAAGACAGATTAAGAAGAAAATAATTTATTCACCATCTGATCCGTTGTTACCAGGTTACTACTTGATTTACATTGAAGAACTCGATAAAGATTTTATTGTTAAAAAATCTAGTACCAAGCAACAATCAAATGGAAAAGTTTTACTATCAATTGAAAGAAAAGAAAAAGAAGGTGAAATCATCACGACTGGTAAGTGATTTGTTTTTTATGGACTGGTTGGCAAAAACAATGAACACGAAGTATTACAGTTCGGTAAAAGTTTATTTGGAGGTACAAAAGCTCATTGCGAAGCTGAATTTAGGTTCCGAATGGTTGAAGCAAAAGGGGACGAGACAGATGAAGAAATAAGTTCTGATGAAAGTATGATTATTTTTATCCCAAAATTTTTTTGCTTCTTGTACTTGATATACCTGTCTTTTAGATGGTTCACCAATTCACTTCCTACCGTCTTCTTTATCAAGAAAAAACGTTCAATTGTACAGCAATACACGTAAGAAGCTATTACTTCAATAAATAATTACTTATTCTATTTTCTGTTATTTTTGCTTAGCACAACACCACGAACAAAGCTTGGTACCATTTCAACTAATCACGAAAGCTGCTCCAGTATTATTGATTATTGTTTTTATAAGCTTTCACAGTTCGTTTCGTATTTATGGTGTACTTAGATTCTTATACTCATGACAACGATATGCACCGAAGTCGATCGGATATTCAATTGTATCATAAATCACCATCTTCTCGTCGTACAAACGATAAGAAAACAAATGAAGATAGCGAACTGGATGCCGATGAGGGTTCGGGTATATTATTCATAAAAATAAAATAAACCATAGTAAGGTCGTTATTTTATTTTCATTTTCGGATGAAGTAAACAGGTTGATTGATAGTCGTGTCGACGATCGAATCAATACATTGTTAACATCGTTAAATAAAAAGTTGGATTTTATGACTAAAAAAATCCAGCAGGTTTATCAATCATCCGGTTTTGTAAGTTGTTTTTTTTATCTATATGTGGATATATGACATCAATGGAAGCAATCCTTTCTTTAATTTAGGGAGAATCACAATTGGCAATGTATCGTAATGAAAAAGATAAATTTCAGGAAGAAGTAGTAAGTAACTATGTTTTTTGAATTCCAGAACTTGTGCTTTACTCCTTCCTTTAGATGTACAATAACGAAAATTTACTCAATATAAATGGAAAAAATCCTGGTGATTATGGACGGCGATTACTACGTGTACTCAAGATGAATTAAAAACATGTATGTTACCGTCGACGGTCGGAGGGCGATATTCAAAATCAAAACTAGATGCAAATCGATTTGCACTGTTAAACAGTAAGTTAACATTGATTAATTTCTATTGTTTTGGATGTTATTATTCTCTTGAGAGAAAGTGAAAGAGTTGTGCCATGCAATTCTGTGTTTTTCTCTTCATGCACTTTTTATTTATTTAAATCAAAAATTCATTTCTTTTTTTCAGCTGCAATGCGTGTCAAATTTCGTATCAGTACACATCAATATCAAGACTTTTACAAAAATTTAGTTCGAAAAAAGTTGAGCGATTTTTTGCTTGAAGAAGAACGTCGTGATAAGGTAAAAACAAAACGTCTTCGAGTACAAGAACAAGAATCAACCGAAATATATACTCCTATGACAGTAGATCGAACGTCGATGCCTGTTATTTGTTTATCAACGTCAACGATCAATGATGAATAATAGTTTTGACATATGATGTGAAAATTATTATTTAGCTATCGTTAGATCGTTTTATTTTGAAATTATCTCCATTTATGAAAAGTTTTTCTGCTTGCATGTAATCATTTTTTGTTGTGTGTTAAAGATGGATATCGGAACAAATATGTTTATTTATGTTTGTCGTCTATTTGGTTTTATTTGTCATGTATGATTTTGGTACGAAAATGAGTGTTTTTTTTATGAACATAGCCACGGCATTATTTTTATGTTTTGTTTTTCGAACTGTATTTTTCAGTTCTAACATTTATTTGTCTGACTATTCCTTTTTTGTCAAGCGTTATCATGATATGAACAATAAAACTACTATTAATTAGACGAAAGCAAAGCTATCGTTTGTATAATTTCATACCGTGAAGGACCTATATACGGTAGAAATACGGTATGTTTACGGTCATTTACAGTGCATATACGGCTATATACGATGATCTTATTTAAGCCGTAAACACGCCGTATATGCTACGGCGTAAATACGGTCGTAAAACACCGGCCGGTTCGTATGACCTCCAATAAAAAGATGGTATAAGCAACCGCTATAGGATACTTTTTCATCAAAAGAACTGTCTATTTCTACCTGACATCATTTCTGTGATATCTTTATATTCGTTCATTTTTATTAGAAGTCGTTACTATCTATATGTTGAACGTAATGAATATTTTAAATCATTCTATTTAAAAAATATTATTTTCTGGCTCTGTACTAAAATATATAAAGTGCTTATGTTATTATTTTGAATCAAATTACAAACTTAAGTACTTTATGGTGTGTATGCTAAATACAGTACGTTTACGACATCGTATATGAACGTTTCCATACCGTATGTTCTAACTGAGGTAGGATTAGTGAGATTGCAGCTAGGATTTATAAAATATCTTTCTGGAAGCCACCACTAAGAAGGAGTGCTCTCCGTCATGTGTTGAACTTAATTATAATTAAAGACGACGAGAAAATAAAGTTAAAAGAGTACACTTGTCTGTATTAGCGTATTAAAGCACAATGAGGCATTATAGACAGACACTTTCAAAAGTTCCTCTCAATTCCGCCGTGTAGAGCTCAACGAAAGCTATCGACTGATATGCGAAACGGCTCAAACGAGTGACCAGTGTTATTACATTAATAAAAAAAAGAAATTATATGAGGCGGAAAAGAGACTATTTTTATTATGGAACGGGTTATGACGACATTGGAACATAAAGAGCTTGGTAGTACCAGACGCCGTCGAACGAGAACTATCGACTATATATCATTTCATGGTACCTAACTATTGATTAAACGTACTTGTCTGATACGGCGTAGTTACGGCATGTATACGACGGTCGAATACGGCGCATTTCCGCAGCACCATAAACGAACACCGTATACGGCACCGTATTATACCATAATTGAAGCGTAATACTGTGCACCGTATACGGTCACCGTTTCCAGGCCGAAAATCACCGTAATTTAGCCGAATACGGCCGTTTACGTACCGTATTGTCCGACATGGGCTCTGAAGGCAAACAAGTCGATGCCCCCCTTCGCAAAAATCTTGGCTACAGGCCTGGTATACTGCAATAGAAACAGTATTTTTTGCACTGATTTGACTCGCCTCCCTAGTGGCGGTTTTTTTCTTAAGTACATGAGTTTCTTGAATATCTTTAGTAAGAATCTTACGGCATGAAGATATTTCTTACTCATGCAAAACGCATTTTTTGCGATGTCATGTGCTTGACTTTCTTGATTCATGTGCTTGAGTTTCGTATCTCAAGAAACTAATGCGCATAAGATTCTTATCTGAAGCGCTTGAATATCTATTGCGCTTGACTTTCTTGCGCCAAGCTTTTCTCTCTCTTGTTTTTCCGATCTGCTTTGACCAATGAAATTCGAAATTTTGATTTCGTTCTTTCAATGTGATTATATAGAAATATAGACTGGAGTCCAGTCAATGGACATGTCTGTATATAGAGCAGACATGTGGACCTCACATACATGCAAGAGAATTATGCACGTTGTCTACACAGCCATTTCTTCTTTTTTTAACGTACTGTGAAGCTGAAGATCATTTTTACTCGCAGTTTTTGCATGTTTT